CCAGACAGATTCTTTGATTTTGGCTGGATCTTGGCCATCCGGGACAGCGAGGTGCGACTGTACTTGGATGAATAGCCATGCTGCAGTCAACCAGCCAAAGCTAGTAGCAATCCCAGGATTAATTGGTAAACTCGCGGCCGGGGCTATGTCGGTTCGTGGGTACAAGTACTAGTAATGTCGGGAAGAGACATACACAGTGTGTGTAGAAACAAGAATTAACATTTGACGTCACTCTGGGTATTCGAGTCCGTAGCGAGTACTGAAGTGTACCTCCACTGCGTATCTACGTTCCCGACATAACCACCGAACCGACATAGCCCCCGCCGTGAGTTTACTCGTATTATTGTCTTTATCGGATGCGGTACTGAGCCCACCGGATGTATTCGCTGACCTGACGTGACCCGCCACAGTGGGGGATCTCCATTCAAGGAACACAATGACCTCTACCCCCACTTCCTTGTGATGTGCCGTTAATAACATTCTGGAATTGGGACGCATTGATTCGGTGACATGCACGCAATATGAACATGATATCATACCGTACTCGACCATGCTTCCATGTGGTAAAAAGGTATGATAGCAACCTTTCCTTTTCGAAGAGGTGGGTGGCAACGAGAGGGTTGAAATATGTTTTCTTGTAGAATAATTGTGAAAAATAAATAATCAACAACTCTGGTACTGCCAGCAATCCAGATTCAGAGTTGAAGGGTTAGGCGTGTGAGAGCGGGTCCGGGGGTGCATGTGTGAGGGGTGTGAATTCTGAAAGGTTGTGGTGGGGGAAGTGAGAGCGGCAAATTCAGGAAAACCTTTTCACTGGGCAACAACTGGTTAAATTAACCGTTGGCAACGACCTTTTCCATTTGGTAAGGGAAAAAAAGGTTGCCACTTCTCCCTTTTTTACCAAACGGGTCCTAAGGAACTTTGCACCGTACTCGTACTCGTACTCGACGTACTGGCGCTCGGGCGGTCTGTGGCCTGTGTGCCTTGGCTTGAGGCTAAAGCAGTCAAACTCTCGCCGTGTCGGGAAACCAGCGTTAGAGAGGTTCACAACATGTCACTCGAATTTTCCATCGCTCTACCGGAACGTGGTCGAGTCGGGCGCGAAAAGCAAGAACCCCAATGCTTCAACCGAGGCCTTTCAAGTCTAGTGGGATTACCAAAGTGCTCAACGGATAACGGAGCTTTTCCGAAACCTCAAACATACTCGGACGGCCATTCGATCGGTGACCTCCGGCAGTGGCCCTTTCCACATATTTTGAGCCGACGCTCCCTTCTCACGCTTTGATCAACCCGAATAGTGGTCGGACTGTGGGATAGGCATCGCCCAACTACTATTAACCGCTCACTATATCCAATATTGGACCAGTGCTTCCCCAGCCCCCGGTCCGGCGTTCGTCAGCTTTTACAGTTTCCACTTTTTTCCCACTAATAATCTATGCATGATGCCAGCCTCCCAAATCTCGAAGAAGGCATGATGCTTAGGGGGGGATAAATCTTCACACCTTACCCAGAAATTTGGTGCACACAACTATAATTTACCAGATCGGGTGACTTTCGAAATGGTATAAATCCTCCTCCCACCACTGGATCTCCCAAATGAAAAAGCTCACCAAAACAAGAATTTTGAAGAGCCCTGTGGTAGTGCTGTGCACGCTTGAGCGGTACGAAAGAGAAATTGTGATACAATGAGACACAAGAAATCCCGCACAATCCAAAATATTCAAGCGATACTAATACGAATCCAGTATACATTCTCGGCCTCCACTAACTACCACCCGTCTCACTTACAATGTCCCATTTTTGCACCATCCATATCCAACAGGTATATGAGTTTTCCAAACACCAAAGGACTGCGATGAGGACGCTGAAACACTTGGTCCACCCATTGTCCGTTTCAACACAAAGGATCGGATCCCGTTTTTGAGAATAACGAGATCTGGAAAGTACCCTACTTTAATTCTTAAGGTATTACCAGAGCCCCGAACCGAGACCTTACCCTACCGGCCGAACCCTTGGACGCAGTGACAGACGAGGGATAATCTGTCAAAAATTGCATTAGAGCTAGGGTGAGCAGAGTTTTTTTTTCTTGATTTCACCAATTGTCACTCGATCCCCATTCAAGGGGTGGCAAGCTTGACGCCTTCATGTCCTTTGCTGGCTCCGCTGTCTTGGTGTCATATCCCGCTGGTTCTAATCTAACTTTAACCTCTATCGGGTTATATAATACGGTGCCAGGTACTGTAACTCGGACGGTAACCGCATCATACAAACTCTAGGGGATGGGGAAGAACTAATTATGGTGAAAACCCGAATAAACCGACCATGTGCTATGACGTTGGAGTTGGCTCTCTTAGTAAGGTCTGACGATTTATTCTTTTTCATTTGTCTCGGAGATCAGGTGTTTTGATGTTTTTCACCCCTTTTCCAGAGGAGGAAATTTTGGACTACCTAGCGCGTGGTCCGTTTATTCAAGTTTTTACGGTAAGTACTGTACAGCAAGATTCTTGCAGCACAAACCAGTGGGTTTACTGTGGGAGTGTCCACTTCAAGTGACGGATTAAATGCAGTGACACGCGAACGTGAAAAAATAGTTGAGCTGTAATGAGAAGGGGGGGGGGGTCAGTGGCTAGCGATCGGGATTGACAGCACCAGATGTTGCCCGGTCTCAAGAACTTCCCCTCCTAGGCTCCTATCATACTTATCCCAGGCAAGAAGTACCGTATTCGAAAATACGAGTCGTGACTTTGCCTGTTTTCAGGACGAGGCTCAGAGTGAAAGTCACCAAGTGGCTCGAAGCAGATTAACCGCTCCACCACTCGCTAAACCCTACATCCTGGCACACCGAGAATTCGAATCCAGTCAGATTCAAACCTGCAACCTAGAACTAATAGGAAAGGGGCCAACTTACCTACTATCCACTAGACCATGGGAGGACTTATATACTTCTCACATCAGAGACTTATATTCTATATTTCTCTATCTATACTGGCTGGCATGAGAGGTCATCTACCTACAATTTCCTTTTTCATGTAAAATTCTGACGGAAAGATTACTTCAATTATCCTAGATATTTGAACCATCTCTTTTCCGAATGAGTCTTTCGTGAATTTTTAATAACTCATTTACCTCCAATATTATGACCAATTAACTAACAAGAATAACTACTAACCTAATGCAATAACAGCATACATTCTCATAATACCATAAAAATATCAAGATTCATTGTAAATCTCATAGTTCAAATTCAGGTCAGATTTAAGACACAATTAATTTTCCATCATAATACTGAACCCATATAACAAAAGTTCCATAGTCTGTCTGAATCTGAGCATTATATTCCACTACTGTATAATCTCGACCACTTCCTTTGTTATATAAATCCCAATCTACAAGGTCTTTCCAATTCCTAATTTACCGCACAGCCTTAGCAGTCTCCGCCTCCTGAGGTATAGTCTGCACATTCCATCCATTCCACTAGCAAGTACCATTGTTGTTACGCTAGTTGTAGTAGCAAAGTATGTTAGGTATTGTAGATCTCCGATAATCTTGTCAATATCTATGCATCATTAATTCATCAACATGGTCCTTATACAGAAGTGACCATTCAGTTACCATAAATGGCCGTTCAATGAAAAAAAAAAAAAAAAAAAAAAAAAACCTTTCACTACAACTCCTTCCACCATACAGTCACACCTAGCTGTCCCAGATGGCCAAAATCGGCAGGATTTGTCTGGAAAAGCAGATTATGCAGGACAACGGAGTATGTTCTGGTGCAAAGAAATTCAGAGCTCAGAGAATTTCATCCAGGGCAATGGGGGATGCAGGAGAGCGAGGTCCAGGACAGTGTGAGTATCCCCTAAACTGCTAGCAGCTGCCATTCACTTGACTTCACCAGATGGGGTTTAGACTTGTTGGTGGATTCATTGGGGTTTTTGGTGTTAGTTCATCCAACACCATTAAAATCCTATCGTTATAGCAGATGTTAGACCATCTCATGTGAATGGTGGTTACTAGCAGTTCAAGGGATAAGTGAGGCAATGGGGGGTCAAACCTTTGGGGAGAGCAATCAAGGAAATGGCCAATCTTGGCACCTTCTATGGGATCTTGGCACTTTTTTAAAGGTGGAAAAAAGTCAGGCAAAAACTGAGGTAGACCATGGGAACCCTCAGCAAGGCACAGTGAGACTTGGCTGCAAAAGCTCCTTGGTTTTAACTACAAGTACAGTCTTCACCGTAGTCGCGACGAAACTGGGCAAGAAAGAATAGTCTACCTCCTCCAGCAGCTCAAAATTACGCCTGCCCAAGCACCTTGAGCAAACATACAACCCTAGGCCATCCTCTCCAGATACAATGGATCTCAACCCCACATTTTCTTTCAAGTCCCACAATCCCGTCAAATGAAAAGTGAAATCAAGTCCAAGGATTCACCCCCCCCCCCACCCACGTCATATCTCCTCCACTCCTGGCCGATACGCTACCTAACTCCGGATATCCTTACTCTTCCAGTCCCCCTCCAGGCCAACCCTACTAGTACATTCCGAACCCCTTGCAGACGATGATACTAAAGCGCACGGACCCAGAAGTTGTCAAACCCTTGACGACGTCCAAGAAATATTGAGAGTCCGTGGCATCCTAACTCCGGGGCACCGGCACCCAGTCACCTGGCAGGCTATCCCCGGCTCGGTGGCCAGTTGGAAACGGAGAAATCATGGACCGGCTCCGGTATCAGAACTCTCGGAACAAAATGATCGCGCTTTACTACGAGTACCTTTTTCGAGTCCATGATCCCGCGCGGGTTTAGTGGTGATAAATCCATAGGGCCGAGCCCGAAGCTCAGTTGTGTTGATAAAGATGTTGTGCGCCGGCAGTCCAGGGATTGAGAGTGGAGTGCAAAGAGTTTGGCACCTACCGTATTTTAAGGTCAAGTACGGTATCCCCCGCCGAGACCTGACGAGGATTTACTGGCACTCCCAAATTCTGTTAACCTGTCAAACCAAACCTATCATGGAATGATGGGGGGGGGGATCGGCGGAGGTTAGAGGTCCGGTGGAGATACAAGTGCCAGTATGGTAGCGGATTATCTGCGCGAGTTAATACAGTCTCATACTGAAAAAAACTAGACCATTGAAATTCACCATCCGACGATCGGAGGAAACTAGCCCGTCAGCCCACGACATCCTCAGCCCAACAGGTTTACGAAACCGCGAACATCGGTTACCGAGACCCAACACGTCCACCGTACTCGCCCAAGTGCCAGGGACCATGTTTTCTCACAGTTAATTTAGGTTAGCCCGCAAAATCATCCCCGTCCTGTACGAAATACATCTCCCCTGGCACTCGCACTCAGCGACTTTCAAAGTATTCGGAACGTAAGTTATCCACGGGTAGGTTATGTACGAGTAGGTGGGGCATTCAAGCTCATAACCCACAGGAATGATCGCAAGCAAAGTCCGCTGCGGCCAAGTCTAAGTTACGCACGAGTCGCGTAACGGACATTTTCCCGGTTCCGATTATCGTACTTTAAAAATAGCCGAGTTATCGTACCCATCTTATCGGATCGGGAGGAGGCTAAATCCTTTTCGGGAGCTTTCTGACTCGGAATCCGGGGATTGCAGGGGGTGCCGGGGATAAGTGGATTTCAAGAATTTTTTTTTGGGGGGGATGCTATCATAGCTCAATAAGTCCTACGCAGTCCCTGCTTAACAATCCAAAAAAAACATATCATACCATTTCCGAAAACAGTTTATTTCCTACTAATACAGGTACTTTGACGAGGCCAGCTCCAAAAAGCATCCCTCCCCCATCTCACCCTAGCCAAAGGGGAAGAAGATCACTGTATCATGGGAGCCCTTGCAGTTATGGAAAACGGACATGTTGCGAAACACCGCACCCTCAAAACATCGCATTGTGCAGCATCTCTAGACTATCATCCCTACCTCCCCCACCACAAGTGCTCCCACCGTACTAAATTACCTTCTTCTTGGTTGAATCTTTTGCTTTCGCTTTGGAGCTGACCTCATTTAGGTTTTTGGAGTATTATTGTTATTATTATTATTATTACCCCGGTATCGTACATGCCGCCAAACGTGGTCCAGTATCTATATTTTACCATACTCTACTAAAACCTACCGCTCATATTGTCTGAAAGTCCCAGCGTATCATGCGATAGTATCATAGGTTTTGGTGGTTGATACAAGTGTGGTACCGTACTTGCACGAAAAAGCCAGCATCACAAGCGGTGGGTGATCGTTGTCGAGTTTAGTGAGGTTTAGGGACTTTTGCCATCAGGCTACCGGGGGGGGAGAGAAAGCACGATACACGATCGCCACACCCGAACCTTTCCTAATCCCGGAATATTCTACGATACCACAGGGAACCAAAAAGCGACAAATACAGACGAGGGATAACGGCCGGATACAGTACCGGACCACTTCAAACTCATTATTTCACCCTTTTAAGAAATTGTGGGGGGAGAACGGTAAACAAGGATGCTTGGATGGAGTTATCGGTATTACGGTAATCCCGCGGGAGGGCAAAAGGCATAACCGGTAGTAGGTTAGTGCTTCAGCCGAGAAGGAGGGTCGCTTACCTCCCGCTAACTCCACTATCAGGCAAGTCCTCCACCAGCAAACCTGGTTTCATCCCGCCAAAGATCGATGACCATATAACATGCCGAATCTCCTCTCTCCCGACTCGAAATCGATCCTTAAGATACAACTTGGTCTGGACAACCTCAAGGAAGAAAAAAAAATTCAAACAAAATGGTTATCATCAACAATATACCCGTCGGCAAAACCGGCTATGGGCTTCTGGGATTCACCTGGAGACCCCACCAGACACCCGACGAACAGGCTTTTGCAGCAATGAAGGTACCGTACTGCACTCCCCCCCCCCCCCACACTCATCGTACCCCACGCCCACTAATACGTTCATTTAGAAAGCCATCGAGAAGGGCGCCCTCTGTTGGAACTCTGGCGAATTCTACGGCACCCCGGACCCGACCCTCGGCCTCCAACTCCTGCACCGCTACTTCAAAAAGCACCCGGAGGACGCTACCAAAGTCGTCCTGAGCATCAAGGGCAGCGTGGACATCTCGACCCTCAAGCCCCTGGGATCCCCCGCCGACGTGCGCAAGTCCGTGGAAAACACCCTGCGCATCCTCGACGGTGTCAAGAAGGTCGACATATTCCAGTGCGCGCGGGTGGACCCCAAAACACCCGTGGAGGAGACCGTGGGCGCGCTGGCCGAGTGCGTGAAGGAGGGGAAGATCGGGGGTATTGGGCTCAGCGAGGTTGGCGCCGCCACGATTCGCAGGGCCCACGCCGTGCATCCCATCGCAGCGGTCGAGGTCGAGTACTCGCTCTGGGCGACGGAGATACGCACGAACGGCGTCGCCGGTGTCTGCGCCGAACTCGGTATCCCCATCGTCGCCTATAGCCCGCTCGGGAAGGGGTTCTTGACGGGGGAGATAAAGTCGCCGGACGATCTCCCCAAGAATGACTTCAGGAGGCACTTCAGTAGATTCCAGCCCGAGAACTTTAAGGTCAACATCGAGCTCGTGAATAAGGTTGGCGGTCTTGCGAAGAAGAAGGGATGCACGCCCGCGCAGTTGGCGATGGAGTGGGTGCGGTACCAGAGTGGGAGGGATGGGATGCCGGATTTGTTACCGATTCCCGGGGCGACTGCTGCGGAGAGGGTTGAGGAGAATTGTCAAGAGGTTGGTCTCACGGAGGAGGAGTACATGGAGCTTGAGGGGATAGTTGGGAGCACCCAGGTCTTGGGAGGGAGGTATTTCGAAGCAGCTGAGTCTCTTTTGTTCGCCTAAGGCCTGTACGTAGGGCACGGCCATGAGTAGCTGCTCCTAAATAATTTGCATTGTACCCCAGTCACCTGGCAGAGCATAGGTAGAAATAAACACATATTCATGTAAAATCACTCGCACTTATTTCGACGGGTCCCTCGTAGAAGAAACCGACATCAATTCCTTCAATAGAATTACATCTCAAGCAGGCCCCGCTGTTGAGAAGAAGAAAAAAAACCTAGCTCTATCGTAGTACACATTAGTATCAGGTACGTTCTGGCCGCCATTAAGACATACGATCAATGAACACGATGCTCCTAATCCACCCCAGAACCTCGACCACCGCAACCATCCTGCAAAACCCCCCAAAGCGTAAATATTCCCGGCATGCAGCGGGGTGAGGGATCCAGAAGGAGAAAAGATCCTCACAAAATCAGCCATCATGCATCCGCCCATCTCGCAATGGCGCATCACGGGTCGCCGTAAACATTGACATTGCCATTGCCATTTCCCATTGCCGCCGCCACCTACCGGTATCTATCAAACACCCGACCGACCATCCCAACAACCAGAAACACGCAGAGTGCATCCACCAATAAAACCAAATAATCATCGCCATCTCCACTCGAACCGGACCCCTCGCCTCCTCGGGGCGTTATTCCCACCATCTTCCCCCCCACCCTCCCCCCATTCCGTTCCACCCGTCTGCCCTTTCCCGTGAAACGTCAAATGTTTTTCCCGTCCAGGCGAACGCCCGCATTCGGGGATAATAAATTATATTGAACTCCGCTGCGCGAACGCGACGACGACGCGAGACACCAAACACCCTATGATACGAACTCGAGTGATCAGTGCTCCCGCATCCTCTTCCGAGAATGCCACCGCCAGCCGATATTTTGCGGGAGCTGCCACCAAACACTAGAACGGTATTCGGTCAACAGAGGTATTCTTAGCACAGATGCGTGAGGCCGTCCATCAAGACATGGCTCAAGCCAGCGGTCAATACCCACCGCCATCGACAAACACAAACCCAGCTCCAAAGAAAAGTAAGAAAGAAGGAAAAGAGAAAAAAGCAAACCACTCCCCCGATTCCAAAAGAGAACACGCCCACATCAACTCGCATCCATCGGATCCCGTCCATCACAGCTGCCTAAATATGATAGGTCTCCCAACCACCACCACCACCACCACCACCACCACCGCCACACAAAAAAAAAAACGAAAAAACATTCCCCCTTCCCAACACCGTAGAAACTCCAAGAGAGGTGTGCTGGGACGCTGTGGTTGCCTCTCCGAGTACGGCGCATGTAAATTCCCTTTCGCTTTGTCTCAACCGAGGGCTGAGTTCTGCGGTGCTTCTTCTCTCGCGTGGCCACGAAGGGGAACTCCAATGTTGTCCCACATTTATCCCCCACCGTTCGAGGATAGTGCCGTGCCAGGTGCCGTAGAAAACTTGGCAAAAATCCATCATGGCGCCGGAAGAGATAGGGGGGGGGGGAATGTGTGTAACCCACAGAGTGGCTTGCTTGCAAATATCGAGACCATAGCGGCTCTACGCTTCAAGATACTCGAGTAGATACCGTACCGGTACTCGAGTGATGAAGTCTAGTCGACTCGACCGCCTTCTGCCAATCAAAGTGGCGAGATCAACGCATCTTCCAACACCATATCAAATGGCGGTAGACTACTCGAGGACCCGTATTTTCTCTTGCGATTCGCCATCGGATTATCCCGGTGGATTCTGGTCATCAGGTCACAATAGGTTTAGTAGGGTAAGTTACCAGAATTGCGGAACCAGTTAATGAGATGCAAAAAGGCCAAAGCACTGAGGCTTACCATGTTAGGAGCACGCTAATCCTTCTCAAGAAATTTCGTCACTGAGGTCCCTAGATTTACCGACCACCTCTAGATGGCGAATCAGAGGAGAAAATATGGTAAGGTGACAGATGATACCTGGATATTGCTATGAGCGAGTATCCAGTGATTTCGTTAGGTTTCAGTTACTCTTCATTGGTTACTAGATTATGACATGTAAGAATAAGGAGCAATTTCAATCCAAGGAGAGGATTTCAGGATTAAAGCAGTAATTGAATTTAAGGAGGTAAAGTAAATCGTAGGCATGGCTGTAGTATGCAGATAGTAGAATTGTGAGAGCTTTACAATATAGTTCTCCAATCAAAAAAGAGTATAGGTCCTCCCATAGTCTAGCAGGTAATAGGTATCATAAGTTGGCTCGTTTCCTATTACTTCTAGGTTGTGGGTTCAAATTTGATTGGATTCGAATTCAAAGTGTGCCAGGATGTAGGGTTCAGTGAGTGGTGGAGCAATTAATCTACTTCAAGCAACTTGACAACTTTCTCTCCTGGTCCTGAAAACTGTCTGGGCATTGCGGTTTTTGGGTGGCTCTTCAATGTCCTCCTGGCACACTATGGGGAGGCCCCTTTACTGCCCATAACTCCCCGATAACTAATAAATTTGCCTGTATAATAGCCGGTTTCCCCGCCTTCGAGCAACGAGGAATAGGCGGGGAACCGGCCAATAAGAGTTTTTTTTTTTTTTTTTTTTCTTGTTATTGGGACTCAACCTTCCTTGGCAACATGTTCACTCATTCAGCTATACCACGTTAGGTAAACACTATTCCTTCTCGAGGTGTTTTGTCTGAACCCGGAGACTAGGGGCTTAGCGGAGACGGCGAATCACGAGAGTTTTTACAGTACCGGTACCGTACTCGTACTGTGATGTACGCAGAAGGAACCGCCGCGCCAAACCACAATAGACTTTGCAGAGCATCTGTAGGTTATCAAAACCACCAACACCAGTTAAACGAGATTTAGCAAGCTCGCCTCGCCCAAACTATCACCACATCCAGAAATCGGTATTCCTTCTCGGAGGGCGCTTTGTCCCCGACTGTGGGAATTTGGGAGGAGGCCTTCAGGAGATACTTATACCGTAAGTTACCTGCTGTACCTTCTCCGGACTCCCGTAGGCGCCCGGGCGAACGAGGCAACCGACTTTCCCCAAGCTGCGGTAACACAGTACCACCAACCCATCAGTGATTCGTCAACGACGACCGTTCCGACAAGACCGCCAAGATTTCACGCCACCATTGGAGACTGCTGTGGTTAATACTTGGCTTGGTGGAGGGCGGCAGAACTAAAAAAGGGGGGGAAGGAGGAATGCTTCTTTTATTCCGCGATCCCCCCGCACCGTGTTCTACTCGTACCTTTCGGTCTGTTTCTGGGTGGATAGAGGGATGGATTCCAGTAGGATGCCATGGATGGAGGGGAAGGATGATGACAGTGGTTGGAAGGATGGGCGAATGGTGATGTGATGACAACGGATTGTGGTAGTCTACGGATAATCTCAGCATCTTTACTTGTACTCGAGTACAGTACCGCTTCCCGTTGTTCTTGGTCCAATCATACAGAATCACTCCCCCACCTCGACACGATTCACTTTGTTAATTTCCTGTCGAGTGATGTCGTGTGAGCATGCTTGCGAGGTGATTCATTTTCTTCCTTGCTCGTGGCACATTAGGTGCACACGCATAATAATTTACAGTAAGAAAGCTCTTACAATCTTGCGCGGTATCTTACAGATAGATTACAGGCAAAAGCATTAGTGCGTGGGTTTTTTTTACTATCGTATCTATTTTACATAGATGACATGACTTAATCCGCGCATGGTGCACAGTCGTTAAAGGGAGAAAGGGAAAAAAGAAACCTCCACTGCCGGGAGAAGAAAGAGTAGTAGAAATAGTAATCCGGTAATTATCATGTATCGTGCTTTATCGGTCGACTGACGTAGACAAGATACCTCTTCGCCCCCCCCTCCAAATATCCTTTGCTGTAAGGGAAAAAAAGAAAATAGCGATCCCCCATATTGCACTACATTTTAGAAAAGATGGAAAAAAATGAATGAAAATAAATAAAAAAATACACGGGCTCTCAGTAAAATAAAACAAAAAATGAAAGAAATCCCATTCAGAAAAGGTGAGTTATTGAAAGGAAACAAGAAAAACCAAAAAACCAAAAAACCAAAAAAAAAAACCAAAAAAAAAATCAGTACTCCTCCCACCCTCCCTACGTCCCTCACCCATTCCACCCTTCATCTGATTCAAGTACCGGTATCGACTGGTTGCTACACCGAATATGAGCGAATTCAGACTAAAAGCACAAAATAAGAGATAACCCCAAGAGATCTAAAAGTGAGCTATGTAATAAGGGTCATGAGAAGTGTCGAGGGAGGATAAAAATAAAGATAATAAAGATAATAAAGATAAAAATAAAAATAAAAATAAAAATAAGAATATACAAGCCATCGAAAAACCCAACAGGGATTTAATAATCCTGTAAGCATGAAATGGAAGGGTGCAAATATCAAATGGCAAAACTTAGACAGTGCATTCGACACTGCCCAATAGCCCAACGCCAGTTGCGAGAGCCTCCGATTCGACGCTTGTAGCAAGAACTGTATTCAACGCTTGACTGAGCGCCGTAGTCGGATGTCCGGCAACAAGTGCTTCGAAAGTTTGGACCGTATTTTGCCCCGCATTAGGGGCAGCACTCTTCCTGACTGATCTTCTAACACCTACTCTGCCAGAAACCGAAGTACCACTAGTGCTGCTCATTGAACTCGAAGCTTCTGCATCAAAAGGTGGTTTCGGTGCGATCTCCCTATATGTCCTAGCAGTTGTAGCTACAGTTATAGTAGCAGATTCAGGGGAGCTCTCAGACGCTAGTAGTGGAGTAATTGCATCCTGGATAGCCTTCTTTCTAGGGCCCAATTTCCCTTTGTAATATTTGGCACGAATCGTCTTTCCAACCTTGTAGGTCTTGGTAACACGGGGCTTTCCACCGCGATTGCGGATTCTCTTGCGGGCCAAGTCGGATAAAACTGCCTGGCCAGGAGAAGACGCCACACGTATAGATTCCAACCCCTCCATATCACTCTGCTCGCTGTCCTTTTCAACCGCCTCAGCCTCCCCAGCCGCCTCGATCTCTCCGGCTTCCTTCCGGCCCTCTTCAACATTCCCTACCTCCCCGCTCTCTTCCGCCTCGTTGCCTTCCTCCTCGTTGCCTTCCTCCTCATTGACTTCCTCATTGACTTCCCCCTCGTTATCTCCATCCTCTTCTCCATCCTCTCCCTCTCCTTCCCAAAGAGATTCATCGGGGGGTGGGGGAGCAGCCATGCGAACCATCCCACGAACACGACTAGAGCCGGCCCTGACTGACCGCTGGGTTCTGACTGCTGTTTCCCTGACGGTAGCTCTTATAACACCCTTTCCTCTTGCCGCCATCGTGGTTCTGGATTTGATGGGCCTAGTGATCTTCGTGGTCTTGGCCGCGGCTCTGGTCTTGGCTGTCGCTTTGCCCTTGACCGCCACTTTGCTCTTGGGCGCAACCCTAGTTCTAACTTTAGCCGAAGCTTGTTTACTCCTCGGAGCAGCCCCAGCCTTTCCTTTGGCTTTGTCTTTGCCTTTGACAGGCGGAGATGCTCTCTGAAAGCCATCAGCTTTCTTCCCCAGAGCCCCACGACAGTTGTCAGCCCCACAATGACAAGTCTGTTGGCTAACGCCAGTAAACCAGTTGAAATTGTAGTCGTATGTGAGCTCCTCTCCAGCTTCGATCCCATCGTCCCCGGCAAACAGTGCCATTCTAGGTCTACCTTCGACCAGCCTACGAAATAATTAGCTTATCGTAAAAGGCCGCCGGGCCACGATCCAACTCACCACTTCTCCATCCGACAATTGGGATCACACGAATCTATGCATCAGAATATATTAGCCAATATGTTCAATATTTAGTGCGTATTCAGCTGCCCGGCTCCGGTTTGATGAAATATCCAACTAAACCTGAACATTGGTGCAAGACAAGTTTCTTGCCAATCTAACAGCGACATGCGACCTGTCTTTCGACTTAACAAGAGTCATACTCACGATTGACAAATCTAGCGACCGAGCCTCTGGTTGCGTCAAGTATCATGTTTTGGTGAAACAACATAAGGTAGTAGTTCTAATCCGGTAAGCATCCGGAACGGGTGTAATGATAGATAGACAACACACCTTATTATCCTTATAGACCTCGACCATTCTACGCTCGCTCTCTTCCTGGGTAATTATTTCACCAGTATACTCCACGATGATCTGATTGGGCATAAAGCCCCTTGTTGCCCTCAGGCCATGTCCGCAGTTGGCAGTCTGATTGCATCGTGGAATCAGCACACCGGAGTTCTACCATGCCCTCGATGGAAAGAAAGGTGTACCTTGACAACTTCGACTCCCTCCGCAAACTTTGTGCCAGATTTCACCCTCTCCTTGAGGTCCGCGAAAGCTCTGTTTGTGCAGCGCTCAACTCCGACATTGCAGTTGCCTTCATCACATTCTACCCAGGTACACATATTGAGGCAATTCTCATCACAGCCGACCTCTTCAGCGCAAACGCACTTGGCTGTAGAAGCCTTCTCTTTTCTCCAATGGGAGGCGGCGTCGCCAATCAAAACATCTGTATATTACACAATCACGCAGGCGTCGTTAGTCAATTGTACTATCTTATTTATCCTCATTAGGATCGTATCCACGAATCTACGGAAATGTGAAAGAGGGGTGTACTATGATTCAGTTTCCTCCAGTCCGGAATGGGTCCACACCTCCACGGACTGGGCGCAAACACGTTAAATGGGAGCTTGAAGTCCCTTTCGGTTTCCATAATCCTCGATCCGGTAAACATGGGCATGGGTAAGACGGACGGCTTCTTTTTCTCCGTGGCCTTTCCACGTTTTCTCGATCCCCCGGATGGGCGCCTTGTAACATCTATGTCTTGCTCTTGGCCTAAATATAGACCTTGGTTCAACCAGATCTTCTTCCTCTTCCTTGGATTCGTAGCCAGAGCTCCAGACGTACTATGCGTCAATGATAAAGCCAACTGTTCATCGTGCTTGTCCTCATCATAAGACAAAACCTTCCTCGCTCTTTTACTGGACCTTGGGGCATCATCGTCGGGTTTTGAGGAGACAGTCGAAACAGTAGCCGGGACAGAGTTCTGTAATTTAGGACCGGCACTCTTAGATCCGGCAGCCATTACCTCGTGGGACCTCTTTCCGCGTGATGGAGCCGGTGTTGTAGTCGCAGCGAGCTTCGCAGCGGTTGCGGCCGCAACCTGTATGCGTTGACTATGGCGACGCGTCGCATTCGGCTTAGCTTTATGGACATCAGAAGTATTCGGGGGTTTCGGCTTGTCTGCTGATCTAAGACTTCTCCTGCAGGCTGCATCTGGTGCCGCCTTCGACCCCTTTGTGGGTTTGGTAGGGGCGGGTGTTGATGGTGTGCTCCCGCCTACCGTACGGGAGCGATGCCTTAGATTACGCGTAGTGCGCGTTTGCTCCTGCGCTCCGCTCCTGCCATCACCGTGCTCTTCTTTGACGTCTTCCGTAGCATTTTCAGCTCCGTCGACCTCTATTGGCCCAGCCTCTGGTTCCTCGGTTGCTCTGACATCCGATTGCTCCGCGTTGATTGGAAGTGAATGTTTGCCAGAATCAATGGGTTTGGAAATTATAGTATCGTCTGGTAGAACAAGGGTTTCTCTATCTGGGGTAATCGACAAACTGGTCGCGACTGTCGACTGATTGGTGGCTGAAGTGGAGACGGTAGAAGAAGCCGAAGACGACGGTTGCGGTGGGATAGAGTCGCTGGCACGGTCCGGTGAGGAAGAACGGGGAGGTGAATTTGCCCACATTTTTTATTTTTTTGAAAAGGTATTATAACGCGAACACCGCAGGCGAGAACAACGTTGGGGAGAAGGGGGTGAGATGTGAAATGGCGGGATAGATATAAAAAAATTACTAGTGAGACAGGGCGAGGTTTGTGGGGAACCCAATTGGGTGAAGTGGTGGGACGGGGGTGCAAGGAAAGTCGAGAAGATGACGGGAGGCGGTGGTGTTGTGTGGCCGAAAGGGAGGAAGGGGATGGGGAGGGAGCAAGAGCACGAGTGGGAGAAAACAGAACGAAAGAAGGCGAGAAAATAACCAAGACAACCACAGGAACGCAAAAAGGAAAAAGGAAACACGAAAAAGTTCTCCTCTTCTCACGCCGAGTGAGCTTCAGCTGCGATCCACAGGCGGAGAGAAAGAAAGAGAGGCAAAGAGAAAGAGACTGGCTGATGAGAGGAGGGAGGGAGGGAGAAAGAGGCTGGGTAGCAAGAGGAGAGAAGTACTATGTATGCATGTCACAGTAGCGGTACTTTTATGGTAACGACCGTAAAAGATTTGTTCCACTTTAGAGCAGGCTTTCATAGAAGTACTCGACAGGCGAATGAGGGTCGGTCCTCAACCAAACCCGTCTTCTCTCCCATCTTAACGTGTAAATCAGATACCTCATTTGTCCAAAACTTCCATGTACTGTACAAACCATGCTCCACCTCCTCTTCCCACGGTATTGGTCCCGAGAGGGCTAAACGTAAAATATTTCCTTCTTGTTCATTATTCTAGCATTCTAGCATGTCTTCCTTCCTAAGTTCAAGCGGGATGAAGAGTTACTGAGCTCTTCGATAACATGGCTACATCAACATCACAGACAACCCGCCAAGTGGAAAGCTAATACTTATAACACTGTGAGCCAATCTCACACATAGCCCTCCTCTTTTCATCCCTTCTCGGCTGCTCTGAGAGGGAAGCGTTGAGGCTTTATGGCATTATTGCCTTCCCCCGCCGCCCATTTGCCGGTCATATCGAAAATACATACCAGTAAAAAATAAATAAAAGGGAACTTTCTATCCCTCCTGCCCCCCCTGATCGCAAAAGCTTCCAATCAATCAGCCAACCGAGCAGAACACAGTAGTCTGGGAATCCTTCGATCCCCACCCTTTTCCCAAAAAAAACCTTCCCAAAGTGAGTACGACCTCCCTCCCCCCCCCATCACGATTATGTGAGAGGGAGCCGAAACCTCTTAAACAAGGGTGGTACAACGAGAATCCCAGGGAGGGAGCCCTCTTAAAACTTCAAAGGTAACGATGCGCTCCTGCACCTGAGATGGAAAAAAAAAACAGAAGCCATCAGCCAGGTACTTCTCACGTTGAAGGCGATAAATTAAGACCTGAGAGGAAGCGTGAGTCGAAGAAAGGAGGAAATCAACGAGCGAGCGTGTTGGAAAAGAAAGCATATACAAGGCAAGCCTTTCCAACAATTCTACATGATCCATTCTCTTTCCCTCTCTCCCCACATACCGGTAGGGGAATACCGCTATGGTACAGCCCCTCGCCCCCCTCAAACAATGCTTGACGTATATGATACATCAAACCACGTGCGAGATATGGTAGCCAAAAGATAAAGCAATCGAAAAAGATTGCAGAAAATAGCAAAGCTTCAAAGAGGATCAGAGCCAACTCTCCACAAACCGGAGGAAGAAGAAAAAAATGTTTTCCACCGTGAAAAGAGTACAATCACTTTGTTCCCAGGAAAGTTACCCCGTGGTTAGGGAGAGGGGGGGGGCAGGAAGCATTAAAATTTTCGATAAGCGTTAAGACAGAAAGGTGGATTTGAGGGGGGAATCATCGCGGGAAGAAGGTACTATATACACATTCACCTCCTTCCTTCTTTCCCCACACCCCGGCAACCTCTGGCATTTACGATTGATGCTCCTATGTGCTGTTTGTTCTTGTCGAACATCACACGAAAAAGTGGAGAATTCAGGCATGAATTCCGAGACATTGTGCTGCACGTGATCAGTACGTGAGCCATAGAGAAGTCGACTTTTCAGCAGGATTGTCAAGAGTTGGTTTTTACAGCAAATAGGGGGTCTAGTGGCTATTCAGTGGACCAAGTGTATGAGATAACCGGACAGGATGGGACACGGATCTCCAATAGCAAAAAAAGAAAGAGGTATTTCCTGAAAATTATTTTTCGAATATATCTTGTTCCCTCTTCACGGCTTTTGTGCCTCCGGGAGAAGGGGGGGTTCACTAGGGGTTTCACAGGTCCACACATTCCTGAGGGAACTGGTGAATGGCAGGGAACACGAAATGCCCATTGCTGTCAACATGCGAATAAACTCATCCAAATAAACTACCAGCAAGGGAGGACCCGCAATATTACACAGCTCATGGCGAAGAGGAACAAGAAATCTGTTAGGGGGTACACAACACAATTATCACTGCGAAGCCTTTGATCTCGGTATTCTCGACCCTTCGGTAAGAAATCACCTAGGGTGGGTGACAAGGGTCCTTCTCAACATATCATACCTAGAAGCTGTCGGAACTCACTTTAACGCTACCTCTATACACGATCAATTAGAATGCCGTACTCAATATAATGTGGATTTGAATATAATACCAGGAAACATCGGCCATTGTACGTACTTATACCAGGCCCCATTCGTTGTATTAACCTGAAAACTAAAACTCTAAGTAATGATACACTCCTTTCAGAACAAACCTTCAAAGAAACTTAGCCAAGTCGCCCTAGATGCCCATATTATCAGAAAGAAAACTCCATTATTTTCCAAGTAGGCTTAAGACCCAACAGAAAGAGCTAGCCAAAACCCCAAAGCAGTTCCCCGACAGTCCGAGTTAGGCTGAACATACATTCAGGGCACCACCGTTCCCCACCAGCCCTTTCCACCAATACGCAAACGCCAGACCCAAAGCCCTCCGGTCTGAAACGGTGAACAAACAATCCCACACCCCGCCCTCCTTAAAAATCCACTGGATAATTATCATAATATTATTATTATTATACCCAGCGCCAAGTAGGTTACGCTACTTATCATATCGTTGAAGTTTTTTATATGGTGGACAAAGAACATCGAGACCACCAGAAGTTCGCCACATATTCATTCATTCTTACACCTGATATCTCAACCCCCTACCAGAGGTTGGATATTGGTGATATTTTACTCGCTTGGAAAGTGGTGTCTGTTTGCGTATATCGCGCTGATGAATCGGGCATAGGAAATCACTCGAATCATAGCCTTTCTCATGAGTGAACCGCGCTGGTATGGTTATGAAGGTGTATAGCCAGTATGAGTTTGTATGGCCAAACAAATACGCACGAAGGGCCCACGGAAACACTGTTCGTGGGTATCAAAGTCTTTTTTGTTTTTTGTTTTGTCATGGCTTCCGATATTTATACTCCTCTTGAGCGTATGATAAACGTTGTCCCCTTACTTTGATTAAGGGATACAAACTGACCCCGCTCTTCCATCATGTCTGAGTACCGTGAGTCTTGCTTTTCCGGTCTGTATTGGCGGTTGACCTAGGGAATATTTTATATTGACATCCGGCCATCTGTAGAAGGTGGAGGAATATATCTTGGCACACTGTGCCGTCCGGAGTTGTGCCTGAATAGGGAGGGGGAGTGTTTATGCACCCAAAAAGTTCCATCAAGGGAAGACTCGTCCTGGAGATTTCCTTCACATTTTCCTTGTAACCGCCGGCAGATAGATACAGTCGCGCCCCCACTATCCCGTATCGTGCCAAATAGAATATCCGACCCAACCGTGAAGAACTTGGGACACCTTGATTCTCGAATTTTCTCGGAATTTCACTTGCCGAACTCGATAGGCGGGGGGGTTTCGGATTCCTTTGATATTCTCGTAAACCTTCCCCCATCTTCCTGTGTGGGCAGAGTTAACATGCGGGATCAGATATTCCGATAACTCCAAGAGAGCATACTCAACGAAGACCATCAGAAGGGGTGATAGAGGGTAATGGAAAGACCATTCCCAGCATCAACCGTCATTCCAGTCGCACCCCGTTGTTCCGAGTGGCCAAAACCCTGAGTGGGCTATCCGGGTCGAGAGGGCATCCGTGAGAGTAAATTGTGCACAAAATCTTCTTTGAAAGGATTGAAAATCGAGTGACGATTGACCAGTGTATCAACTCAACTGAGTATCTCCGTGTAGGGGTCAAAACTCCATTCCGAGACGAAAGCTCTGTGGAAAGCCTGGTACGATGCCGAACAATAAAAGGCAGGAAAGTCACTTTCAGTGTTGTCGAGAAGCCCAAGACCCTACTAACTTACAGTTAACCCAAATCCACTTGTCTAAGGAGATCAAACTTTGCCAAGGTTCTACTCTCCTTGTCGAGTGAATACGGTATTCCGTATAGCCGGGTCTAGGTGAGGGGTAGTGCAGCAAATAAAAGACATGAGAAATTAGCTTAAAATTTCAATGAACAGTCTGATTATACTCTACACACGATTTTCTTTTCCTATCCCTAAGTAGGTCTTCCTCAAGCCCGAATCTTCCGCAAGTTACAGTCAACCGGAATCTAGAGCCGGTATATGTTGAGGCCTTACTGGTGGTGGGGATAATTGGCAAGAGGACTACGATAAGAGGAGCATTTGACTGTGTTCCTACCGGATAGACCACCCGTGGCACCAACCCCACCACCGAGCAGCTACGATGTTAGGCCAGAATAAGGTGAATATGCGGGAGAGTGAGATGTATTTCTATCTATTCTCGACAAATCTTGAAAAATTGACCAGGATAGAGAGAAACCCGGTAGAGCAAGGTCTAGGACAACGGGTTGCGGGTGCAGCACTCTGCAGTATGATATCGTACTGCAAAGAACCACAAACTATAGGCCCTAAGGCTGCGATGCCTACCACTAGTAGTGATGAAGAAGGAGACAAACCTGGAGGGAATGCAATATGTATGCCCACCGAACAGACCGCTAGAAGTGCTAGTGCCATACCATCTGTGAATATTTAGTAAGGAGGAGCTAATGATGGTGGTGGTAGTGATGAATAGGGAATCTCTGTTATGTTTCTCCAGTATATCCACAACTCCTCACAAACCACCACCACCACAACACACCAGGACAAATCCTACGATCATTCACCGAAATGGGAGCGTTGGCGATCGTTCAAATAAACCCCACAGTATCACAAGACCTCACTCGACTCCAGGCGACTGGCCAAAAAAACAAAGCCTTTTTTTTTTTTTGCCGAAATCCGTTGTATAGCTACCAGACAGATACAGCAAGTTAAGTACTTCGGCCAGCAATAATGCCACAGATGCGGTATACTACACTTCAAGCCTGGTTATACAAATACAGATAGGTCCCCACCTATTCACTTCCCCGTCCCGTCCCATCCCTCCGTCCCATCCCTCCAGCCACCGACCTCCCCCAATAAATTTGATATGAAAGAAGCAAAAGGAAACAAAGGTGAGAAAAGCGACCAAGTATCAGGCCCTTCAAAGTATCCAGAAATAAAAAAGTATAAAGCGGAAAAGAGGATAAGTGTAAGCTACAAATGTAATATAGATGTAAAGGAAACTAAAGCCACTAGGATGCTAAAATTGAGCCGTTAGAAAATAAAAAAATAAAATAAAAGGGCTTACGTAAGTGTGGTATTAAATCTAAGAAGCTGATATCCGCCGTTCTACTACTGGGGCTGATTCATCTGCTCTATCTCCTGCCTCACTTTTGTTGGTGCTTAGTCGCTGTTGCTGTTGGCGCTCAAAACGCTGGTCGCCAGTTTGGTAATTACTCTTAAGCTCAACGTATCTACCTCTCGTTAGTTACTTTATCCCTCATGTTTGGAGGGAGGTGGATAACATACGTCGGAGGTCGAGGCCTGCATAATACTACGACAAAATTGTAAAATGCGTTTATCTGTGAAAATGGTCTGTGTCGCTCACTTCTAACAAACTTGTGGCCGTGGAGATATTCCCTCGTTGTCTCTCCCCTTGCCATCAGAAATATATGGTATCCAAGCAATGCTAAAGGGTAAGGTGCCGCAAGAGCGCCGTATATGACCATTCCAAAGGGAACTTGCCACTCTCTTATCGCATCAGAGAATGAATGACTTGTTTGCTTTTTCCACTCGTTGAGATGTACGAGCGACAACGCTAAAAGATAAAACCCTAACAAGGTAGCAGTTGAGACAAATACAAAAAAGTATCGGTAGTTACGGCGTCCAACACAGTTGTTGAGCCAGACACAGTGGTGATCTTGAGTTTCTATGCAGTTATCGCATATACGGCAATGATGACAGCGAGGCGGGCGCCAAATCCGACAGGTCCGGCAGTATTTGATAGGGACTTCTAGATGTACTTGGTGCTTTAACGGTTTAATAGATGCCCAACCATTTGGCGGAGGCACAGCTAGAGCATCATCTGCATCGTCCACCTCGAGAGGATGAACATTTCGTGGGTATACCTGTTGGATATTAGTAAACATCGACCAGATTAGATGACGGGCAGAACCAACACCAGGGTCTGATACAGACGCCTTGAGAAATGACATCATACACAAAAGGTATAGATAACCGAACGTCACCGGCAGTGCCGGAGAGACGTGTTTCCATAACCATTTCGCACTAAGTCCTTATATTAGTTTCACATGATCTCACTCGGGGTGAGAGATGCTTACGAGTAGGCACAAAATAGACATGCCGGCAATGTTACCAATATCGCAGTCAGAAGGTTCATCGGTACGTCTCGGGCTGTTTGGAACCTTCCTCCAAGACAGAAAGCGGTCTTCCCGGGGAAGTATTGCCAGTTCTTTCCCTTGTAGGGTTGCGAGTGTTGTTTCGGCTTGGCTACGCTTGAGCCCCGACTCGAGTTATCCAGCTTTGGGAGTTGATTACCATTTGAACCGTTCATAACAACCCTGTGATCATTGCCGGCGGATTGTCGATTATCGAGGGAGGACTGAGCAGAAGTATTGAGGGGTGAAACGGACGTTATTGACTGAGCCGTATGCATGGTGTGACCAGTTGGAGATCCAGAGCCTGACTGGACGTATTGGGCCCGATCATCGCTAACCAGGTGTTGATGTATCATCGGTTCATGCATTGATAACCCCAATACTGGGGGCCTGTCGGAAACCCCCCGTGCAGCCTGCGCAAAACCCCGTATCCGATTCTGTTCCGCCTCGTCTTCCTCCGTGACTTTCCCCCGTTGTGCTTGCAGCTTTGTTGAGCTCATTGGTCGGTAAAATGCGTGACTTGTCAACGATGGAGCATGAGTTCTCGACGCGGATGATGACGGTCTACCCCTTTGACTTCCCCCAACCGACGATAAACCTCTGCGAGAAGGTGGAGGATTTGACCATCCTCTCGCAGCCGTAGATGTCGACATAGCCGTACTGGGTCGTGTTGAGAAGGCGTCGGGTTGTGGATCGCTTACAGAGACCCGGGTATTGGCACGTCCTATACCGGGTTGAAGTGAAGACGGGCGAGAAGAAGCATTTTGCGATAATTGCGCCTCGGCGAGACCCATTATGTCGGAGGCATTGTCGCTAACATCGGTCATCCGAGAGGAAATTACGCTGTACGCTCCTCCATCGGGTTGGTCCTCATTGATTTCGTGTAGGGAGAGGGGGAGGGCGCCGTGCGTCGGAGAATTAAGAAATACAGCGGACAAAGGTGAGCCTCTCGGGGAGGCCATGACGGAAGGAGCGACAGTTTAAAGAGATTGAAAGAGAAAGAGATGGAGAGGGTCAAGGAGGATGGCAAGGGGGAAGGTGAGGAGGATTGGGGGTTGAAGGTAGCACAAGTGTTAATAAGCAAGACTTAGTGCGATGATAAAGTTTTGTAAACTACGCACGCATAGGGGGAGGCTTAAGATTAACTTAATGTTTGTAGACAAGTTACTGACTTATATTATTAGTCTCCTACCAGTAGCACAAGGCGATGTAATCCTCAGTTATTTGGAAGAAAATAGAAAGTCCGTTGTTTTTTGGATTTTTGGAGGAGAAAGTAGGATATTGCGCTCTGGGTGCAGCTGTGGGCTGCGGGAAATTGCTTTCGGAGGCCAAATTTGGGGAAAACGAGATATGAACGAATTGAGATCATTGATACCATAACCCCCAACCACAAAGCAATCAGGGTCGTTATCAAGTTGATAGAATCGGTTGTTGGAAGTTATCGCATCAGTTCTCCAGGGAGCGCGGGAGCCGGTGAGAACTACTCGTACAGAGGGGAGTGCAGAGAAAGGGAGCAGGGAGTGAACGAATGTCGTGAAAAGGGAGAAATAGGGGGGGGGGGGCAAGGGGAGTAAGCAGGGGACGAGTATTGTAAGGAAAGGAATATTATTATTATCATCCCCCCCCTCAAAAGTCCTGAAGAAGCTTCAGTTCGCAGCAGGAGAGGCGTCGGTATCATACTGCGCTGGTACCGATATCCCCATGAACCATGAGGGGGGAGGGTCCCGGCGTGACTAGGGGGACTTGAGCAGCATCATCGCAAGGGTTTGTAGAACACGCCATGCCATGAAGTGCAGTTTTCTGGAATCGTACTGCGCCGGATACGCTTCAAATCTTTAATGGGACTGCTGGTACTCGAGATGATACAGTATTGAACATTGTACACACTATCATACTTCATCACGCTTATACTGGTATATATTATACGGCAGAGTTGGAACATTATTATGAGTGCTCGAGTACTTGGCGATAACAGCCAATGTACTCGTACTCGGGTACTGTACACGTGTACGTACTCCGTGCTGTACTGCACATTCGATACCGGTGTTGCAAAAATCAGAAAACGCAAATACCAAAAGTATCGGAGAATGATACAGTACGGTATGATACCGGTACAAAAGTTTTCGTCCGATGCCTTTTTACACCCAACTTCACCCTCTCTCATAGCACAATCTCAAGGAGAATATGCCAAATTTTGGCAGTGCATTGGCAAACCTGTAGGTGGTGTGGGGAATATTTTTAATTAAATATTATACAGTCTTCACCGTAGTCGTGACGAAACTGGGCGGGCGACGAACAAGGATTAATTGCCAGTAATTTTGTAACCCTAACCTTTGCTCTTTCCTTTTTCTCCCCCCAAAATATCCCTGTTCCTCCATGCCCAGTTTCGTCGCGACTACGATGGAGACTGTACTTGTAGTTAAAACCAAGGAGCTTTTGCAGCCAAGTCTCACCACGCCTCACTGAGGGTTCCCAAGGTCTGCCTCAATTTTCTCCTGACTTTTTTCCACCTTCAAAAAAGCGCCAAGATCTCCTAGAAGGCACCAAGATTGGCCATTTCCTTGGTTGCTCTCACTAAAGGTTTGACCTCCCATTGTCTCACTTATTCCTTGAACTGCCAGCAGCAACCATTCACTTGAGGTGGTCTAACACCTGCTGTAATGATAGGTTTTTAATGTTGTTGGATGAACCAACACCAAAAACCCTAATGAACCCACCAACAAGTCCAAATCCCATCCGGTGAAGTCATGAGAATGGCAGCTGCTAGCAGTTCAGGGGATGCTCACACTGTCCTGGACCTCGCTATCCTGGATCCCCCATTGTCCTAGACAAAATTCTCTGAGATCTGAACTTTTTTTGCACCAGAATGTACCATGTTGTCCCGGATAATCCTCTGTCCCAGACAGATTCTGTGGATTTTGGCCATCTGGGTCAGTGAGGTACAACTGTATAGTGGAACAAGTTATAGTAAAGGGTTTTTTTTTCTTCTTCCTTTTTCATTGAAAGGCCATTTATGGTAACTGAAGGATCACTTCCATATAAAGACTACGTCAATGAATTAACAATGTATAGATATTGACAAGATTATCAGAGATCCATAATACTCAATTTAGTTTGCTACTACAGCTAGTGCAACAACAGTGGCCCTTGCTAGTAGAATGGACAGAAGATACAGACTATACCTCTGGGGTTGGAGGCTGCTAAGGCTGTACGGTAAATTAGGAATTGGAAAGACCTTGCAGATTGGGAACAATTGATTAATCCTTCAACCTTCTTTTCAATTGATTTACTTGTGCCTCTGATTCTTTAGTAAGTATAAAAGTTTCTTTATGTTGGAAGAAGTTTTTTTCGTATTAAATTTCTTTTAGAAAACAAAGGAAGTGGTCAATATTATGTAGTAGTGGAATACAATACTTGGATTTATACAGACCATGGAACTTTAGTTATACGCGTTCGGTATTATGACAGAAAATTAATTGTATCTTAAATCTGACTGGAATTTGAACTATGAGATTTAAAATAAATCTTGATATTTTTATGGTATTACGAGGGTGTATGCAGTTATAGCATTAGGTTAGTAGTTATTCTCGTTGGTTAATTGGTCATAATATTGGAGGCAAATGAGTAATTAAAAATTCATGAAAGACTCATTTGGAAAAGAGATGGTTCGAACATCTAGAATAATTGAAGTAATTTTTAGGTCAGAATTTTATATGATAAGGGAAATTGTAGGTAGATGACCTCTCAAGCCAGCCAGTATAGATAGAGAAATATAGAACATATGTCTCCAAAGTGAGAAGTATATAAGTCCTCCCGTGGTTTGGTGGGTAGTCGGTAAGTTGGCCCCTTTCCTATTACTGCTAGACTGTGGGTTCGAATCTGACTGGATTTGAATTCTCGGTGTGCCAGGATGTAGGATTTAGCAAGTGGTGGAGCGGTTAATCTGCTTCAAGCCACTTGATAACTTTCACTCTGAGCCTCGTCCTGAAAACTGTCTGGACATTGCAGTTTTTGGGTGGCTTTTCAATGTCCGCCTGGCACATTACCACTTTGTTCCACTATAAAGCGCTGGAGAAATTGTCATTTATGTGTGGGGTAGGTAGTGGTTGTCATGCACTGTACTTTGTTGTATTGAGCTACATGCAAAAATCTAGGTCACTTTCACACAGTCCAACACTATTGTAAACAGTGAGCACAGCTTTGATCTTCTGCAGTCCTGCTTCTAGAGATTTGAGTGGACAGCAATTACCTAGCTGGGGGAGAAATTTAAAGTGTTTTCAACAGGGTAGTGTTGGGAATTGTCAGTCTGAAGATGTCGATTTTTCGCTAAATTTGGTGAAAAACCTGGTGTCGGGCGGCGGAAACTTTTGAGTGGGTACTTTAACTTACCCGTAGTCTATGATATTTGTTTTCTTAACGGGCGGTGGCGGGAAGTGATGGGAATTCTGTGGCGGTGTATAACTAGCTTTATTGCTGGAGAGTATCATACTCGAGTACCGTACACTGCCACAAGCAACCTTCATGGCAATCGTAGCGAGAGGTGCATGGGAATGAGGTGCAGGAAGGGGGGGGAAGTCTCTGCAAGAGAACCGGCACATGCCCGCTGTCTGTCCTTCTGTGTGTTACGCGATTGGGTTGCCAAAGCAGCAAAGCTGAGAACTCCCCTAAGCGCGAGAGCCTACGAGACCTGACATCTGGCCTGTTCCTCATCCCTTTTCATTTTCTTTCGCTCTCTCGTGAATCCCCCCCTTTCTCATCGCACAACACCGTATAATTATCCATTTCTTCGATTGGAATATATTCCCTAATACCCCTTCCGTCCGCTGCACTCCCTGCTGTTTAACCCGAATTCCTCTCGACTTGGCAATTTTTCACCAACAAGGCTCTCCTGAGCCTCTTTAAAACTCCAACACATTGATCCACACTCGTTCTACACATTTAGGACGGAACAATCATGTCGACTAAACCACCCGCTCGGTTAACCGTGGACGAGAAAGGATATGACCGTGCCCGTTCGAGAAGTCCCTCGCCATCCCGTAGGAAAAAGGCAAATAAGTCGAAGAAGCGGGAGGATGGTCCCCTCAGCATGCGCGATTCTAGTTTCCGGAAGCAAGATACCAGTTCCGGAGAGCGAGCCCCGAGGCAAATGTCCAAAGACAATGACATCTTCCTGTTACCATCATCTGACTATCAAATTCTTGGCGTCTTGACAGTAATAGGCGTCTGCGTCCGGCTGTTTAAGATCTATCAACCCTCGAGTGTAGTATTCGACGAAGTGCAGTAAGTTCACCTCCCCATAAGGTAGCGTAAGGTGTGGGATATGCTCCTATCACGATGGCAGGCGGGGGCGCTATTACGGTGGTATGGCGAGCTTGTAATGGAAGGAGAAGGAAGGGTGGTTATCGACATGATAGGGGCTAACGCGTGATGAAGCTTCGGAGGGTTCGCTACCAAATATATCAAGGGAAGGTTCTTTATGGATGTTCATCCACCTCTTGCGAAACTCCTTATTACGCTTGCGGGATGGTTAGCTGGATTCGATGGGGGATTCGATTTCAAGGAAATTGGAAAGGATTACCTTGGACCTAGTGTGCCTTATGTAGCCATGAGAATGCTGCCAGCGGTAATGGGGATCTTAGTTGTCCCAATCATCTTCTTGACTCTTAAAGCCGCTGGTAACTCGACGGCAACTGCCTCTCTCGGCGCCGGTCTTGTCATCTTTGGTCAGTGTTTCTTACCCCTGGATTTCCGGGTCGAGCTGACGGAGATAAATGTGTTGCAGAAAACGGCCTCATTACTCAATCTCGGTTGATTCTTTTAGATTCCCCTCTAGTTACGTTCACCGCCCTTACGGCCCTGGCCTGGACTTCCTTCCTCAATATCCATGAGCAAGGTGCCTCGAAAGCGTTTGGACCTAATTGGTGGCTCTGGCTAGCTATGACAGGGCTCGGTCTTGGTGCCACGGTTAGTGTTAAATGGGTTGGTTTATTCACCATCGCTTGGGTTGGGAGCCTAACTGTCTTGCAATTGTGGTTCTTGCTTGGAGATACTAAAAATGTTACTCCGGTAAGTCCCGCATTCGAACTTGTGTACTTTCGAGTTTGCCTTCTGACGACGGTATTAGCGTTTGTGGTTTAAACATTTCCTTGCTCGCGTCTTCTGCCTTATCGTCATACCGCTTGGGTTCTATATGCTCATGTTTGCTATTCATTTCTTATGTCTAGTGAACCCCGGTGATGGTGACGGCTTTATGTCTTCTGAGTTCCAAGCTACCCTCAATTCTAAGGGAATGCATAGCGTTCCTGCTGATGTCGCGTTTGGTTCTCGCATCTCTATAAGACACCACAACACACAAGGAGGGTACCTTCATTCTCACAATCATATGTATCCAGCCGGTTCGAAACAACAACAGATCACACTTTATCCACACAAGGACGAAAACAACCAATGGCTTCTGGAAAACGAGACCAACCCGGTCACTGGCATTGAAGGATACGATATCATCACACCACCTAACTTAGTTTTTGATGACGCTACTATCAAGCTCTACCACATAAGCACTGATAGGAGATTGCATTCGCATGATGTTCGGCCACCTGTTACAGAGGAGGAATGGCAAAATGAGGTTTCGTAAGTCGTAAAATCAAACCATAAGGGCTGCTTGCTGACGATTTATGCAGTGCTTACGGATACAAGGGGTTTGAGGGCGATGCCAATGACCTTTTCCGGATTGAAATTGTGAAGCATCTTTCTGATGGGCCCGAGGCCAAGAAGCGTCTTAGGACTATTCAAACCAAATTTAGACTTGTCCATGTAATGACTGGCTGTGCGCTGTTTTCACACAAAGTCAAGCTTCCGGATTGGGGTTTTGAACAACAAGAAGTCACTTGTGCCAAGGGTGCTACTCTTCCGAACAGCGTCTGGTATATCGAAAACAATGAGCATCCACAACGTAGGATTCCCAAGAAATTATGCCAGGGTGTGTGGTTTTGTGCTAATCCACCTTTATAGTCCAGGAGGGTGCTGAGCTTGTTAATTATAAAAACCCTGGTTTCTTTGGTAAATTCTGGGAGCTTCAGAAGGTAATGTGGCGTACAAACGCTGGCCTGGTCGAATCTCATGCATGGGACTCCCGTCCTCCGTCTTGGCCGGTTCTTCGTAGGGGTATCAATTTCTGGGGCAAGGATCACCGTCAAATCTACCTCATCGGTAATCCAATTATTTGGTGGTCATCAACAGCAGCTATCGCGGTGTATCTTGCCTTCAAAGCATTCGCAGTCCTTAGGTGGCAGCGTGGATACGCCGATTACTCTTTGACAAATTTCCGCAGGTTCGATTTTGAAGTCGGCATTACTGTATTAGGTTGGGGCTTGCACTACTTTCCGTTCTACCTGATGGAGAGGCAGCTCTTCCTCCATCATTACTTCCCAGCACTTTATTTCGCCATAATCGCATTTTGTCAAGTCTTTGATTTTATCACAACAAGGACCGGAGCTCTTGGTTTGAACCGCAGGCCTGCCATTGGTTGGACAATCGCAACTGTATTCCTTGGGCTCAGCATCGCCGCTTTTACGCTTTATGCCCCTCTTGCCTACGGGAGTCCCTGGACAAAGGCTCAGTGTAATAGGGTTAAGCTCTTCGAAAACTGGGATTGGGATTGTAATCTTTTCTACAATTCGGTATAATCCTTACACTCAAGAAAGGTTATCATGCCGTACTAATTCTGGTTTTAGATGTCTGAATACGACAATATTGTTGCTACTCCGTCGGAAGCTTTGACCTCAACACCAGTCCCTGTTGTTGCCGATCCCCATAATTTCCAAGAGAGTGAAGGTAAGGCGCAACAACCAAATACTACACCTCTGGCCGAAGAGCTGAAAGAGGCTCATCAAATTCCTGCTGCTGGTATGCCTGAAGGCCAGAGGGTGGTTGCACAGGAGGAACGGATCGAATACAGAGATCAAGATGGCAACATTCTTAACGAAGAGCAGGTGAAAGCTCTTGAGGGAAAGGTTGAGTTCCACACCCGGTATGAGACTAGAACCAGATTGCTCGATGAAGCTGGTAATGAGGTTCCAGCTGAGAGTAGCGGGGTTGCGGGGCCATTGGTAGATGGCGCAAACCCAGAGACGCCAAAGATGGAGCCATTAGAGAGTGGGTTACCCCCACGAGTAGACGCAGAAACCGAGAGTGAAGTGGACGCAGAGAGGAGGCGGGCGGAGCCCAGTCCCGCTAGTGATGGGCTACACGAGACATAGTGGGCCTATTTTTCATCTTTCCTTTCTTTTGGCAATATTGATTCTGCAAGGAAGTGTAAGGGATCATACGAGACGGTGTTGGTGGATCAGGATGGTGTGGTGTCCGAGGAATGAATAATGTGGTCTTGCTTCTGGATATGGATTGAGATACTTGGTTCTTTTTTTTGGCATGTAACGCAACGTCTTGGGAGGGGGTGTTCGTTTTTTTTTAAAAAAAAAATACACAGAAAATAGTAATTTTTTTCTTCACTTGAAAAATGCCCCTGTTTGCCTTCGCGTGCTTCATCGATATTAGTTTCCTCCGCCCGGCATATAAGGTCTATCTGTTGCTTTCTCCCGTAGATGGCGAAGTTTATGTCCATGGTTAAGGTTATGATATACGATATTATAGTAGTGGCCGGTGAAGATGGTTGGAGAAATGTCAGGCACACCGTACCAGTACTCACGCTACCATCGCGCAGGTGATTAGACTAGGTTGGGTGCGAAGATGCGGCAAGGAATCTACGAAAAAAATTGAAATATAAATTTGACTGCCACAATCGATGAAAGAATCATAGGAGAAAACATAATATGGTATCATTATCATACCCACGTCCAAGACACCCATCACCCCACCTTCCTCCCCCCGGACGAATATTCCATCAATTGAGCGCAAGTAGCTTACTGTAAAATACTATGGCTCGCGGTCTCAAAGGGCGAAACCAAGTGAATGCACGTAAAACCACAAGGGTAAGGGGGGGTCAAAAAAAAAAAAAAAAAACATCTGATGGGATATTACCCTTACTGCCGGGAACGAACCCCCCAACCCCCTATGATACAGTGCTTTTGTTCGAGTGGCATCATACAGTGTGTACAATGATTTGCTATCATACTCTGATACGCTACTTACTGCCATACTTTCTCTGTTCATCGCTATCCACCTCCACCCCCCCCCCGCCCCGCCCCCCCACGTTTGTGTATACTCACTCCCTGGAACTTGCGGGGACCTCGGAATTGGTCTACTTCACCACGGTTCTGTGACTTCCAGCACCTATCGCCGACTGCAGAATGGTTGGTTGGCTGGCTGCGGAAAAAGAACGGAGGTTGAGAATGGCTTGGGTGAAAAAAGAAAACTGGGCGAGTGATAATTTGTGCACATGCTTTAGTTTGGTTTTTTATGCGATTGATGGAAATCTTTGCGTGGGAAGATGGGAGGTATGTAGGAAGAGGAGAAAAAGTAGTTCCTCCCCCTCAACTGCCCTTTCCACTGTTTTAGTATTGGCCCGCTCGAACTGCATCCCTCCCTGTTCGATTATTCACCTGCTCTGGAGACGTGGCTTCGCGTCTTTCTATGGAATCTGGTGTTCCACGGTCTTTTCCGAGTCCTAGGGCATCGAACCAGACTCCAGATTCCAGGTTCCAGGGGGAGAGGAATTGGGGTTGGCGGTGGTGGACAATCTGTCATGGGGCATGAGAAAACTGTGAAAGATCTGCGTTAAGCATTAACGGGTATGGACAGGGGCGGAGCTATGGAATGGGGAATAAGTGTAGAGGCAGAGATTGGGTATGGGAGGGGGGTGACGGCAGGGGCACCGGTATGATGATACGTTATGATTCCCGCTCTCAAAATCCGCTGGTATCATAACTACGACCAAGGGCCCTCATTGCAAAGTTGCGGATAAAAGGGAGGGAAAAAAAAAAAAAAAAAAGTAAGGCGGAAGCACTTCATAGAGTTGGCTGGTGGCGCAGTAGTTGTTAGATTACCAATCGCGGTGAGTGATAGGTTTTTTGAGGAGAGGAGAGTGTAGAGTGATGGTGTTAGGGGAGAAGTATATATGTTTGAAACGGTAAATGGGGCACACGAGATGTATGGTGGTGCTGGTGGGAGAATTGTCTCTGGTTGTATTTGCACCGTGTGTGCGCCCCGAACGACCTCCGACTTCTGTTCCATTAATTCACGAGCTATAGTAAGCTAACTAGGAGACGGAGGTGTCGGTCTACTGTGATGATGTCTTGAAGGCGCTGATACTCCCTCTCTCGCACATCCGTGAGTAAAGAGGAAAAAGAAAAAAAAAAGATAACGGGGCACGGCAATTATCGCAAGAACATTGGCTATGAAGAAATTGTTATTTCATTTTTCCAGGAGCTGATCATCAAGGTTCGCTGCTATACATTAAGCTTCTGCAGCCGTTCCCTCCTGAGTGCTCTCGGAAAACGAGTCAGAATCCAATACATGAAGCGCAGTGTTCTGATCTACATTTTTCATTGCATTCATCCATTCATCGTGGTCTGGGACATCCCCAACGATTACTGGAACATCCGGGTTGCAGTTTTCCGGGTCTGCATGCGCTTTGTTAAGATAGCCCATGAACAAGTCCAAGCACGAAGGGACAATTGCACTTGGCCATTTCGCCGCTATGAAGCAAAGAGTTAGTATAAAAATAAATCTGGGGTCGTGGCTATTAGAAAAGGGACTAACTTACATGAAGAGAACGTAGCACAGCCAAATCGTGGATCAAGGATTACGGACTCGCGAGGCTTGCTATGAACAATGTAGTTACGGGCCCTCTAGAGGCAATTGTTAATCTGAGAACCGTACTAGATGTGGTGGAGAAAATTAACCTGCATGAGAAATTGCTGGAGCTCAATGTTGGTAATGTTGGATAGGCAATGAGTAGATTCTGCCATTACCAAAGCGAAGACACGGCATTTCCAATTGTCCCCTGCAAATCCAGTAGTCAGTGTTATGCTCGACAACAACCCCTTCAGGTATGGTAACATAGCAGCGGAATAGAACACACAGTTATTATTCAGAAACATGACGATATAATATGCAGCCATCCCGCATGCCATGATATCAATCTCAGCATGGCTCGGAACAACCTTGTCCAATATGTGTTTAAACACATAGCTCACATGCTCCTCAGGGTCCCTGTTTGATGGCGCGGTATTCTTGAATGCGTTGATTGGGGTTTTCTTATCCTTGGTTGCCCTCCATGTGCCGAATCCCATCGGAGACTTGGTCGTGTAGTCCCAAAGTAGTTGCCCAGCGTTCATGATAACCACTCCGTACCCAGATTCTAGAGCACGCTTAACCGCATCAATCATGGACCCATCCTATACCGTCTTAGTCTGACTGTTATTTTAGGGAAAGGGGAAAGGTGAAAGGGTGGTTCCACTTACATTCAAGGCGCCTTCCTCAATACTGCGCATGCACCAGATACCAAGAGCCCCAGAGTTTGAATCTGGGGAAAACACGAGCACCTTGTCACAGGTTTGCAGATTTTGTGACACCATGATAGGAACATGAGGTTCTTCCGCACTCGCTCCGAGAGGCAGTAGCAATTTAGTCAGTCCCAACCCTTCGAGACGAGTGATGACGATACTGCGAAGACAGGCTATTCGCTCGTCTTTATTAGCCTTTTCCTGTGCATTTTTCGGGATATTAATTTTGTTTTTCTGGGGTGGTACTGTACCGTCAACGGCCTCGCGACGGCGCTCGTTCAACCTCTCCCTTGACACACCATGGCCACCATTCGCTGCATACATATATCCATGGTGTCTCCCATGTGCGAAGTAATCGAAACCTTCATTGGGCTTTTCAATTTGGCGAAGTTGATCCTTCTCGTTGATGAAAAGACTGATCAAGTGGGGGTCAACCGCAAGTCAGTATCTCTCTTCCTCTTGCAGGTTGCAGCGACAAATGTGGGAGGGAATGTCAAACACACACCCTAGCTCTTTCAGATCATGGGGAAATTCGATTTCCACCGGGTTCCTACCCGTCTTCTTGCGCCTAAACATTTTTTCGATAGCTTAACTGGTTGGATTTGGGTGTGCTGTTGATTTTTTTTCTTCTTGTCCTGAAGTTTGTGGAGCGTAGGATGGAAGGGGCTATGGTGGGAAATGTTTTGGGAGTTGGGATAGAGCAGTAGAAGGCCTGAACCAACTGGTTGGGTACGGTATCTGCACGTGACTTGCACGTGACTTGATTAACGCGCAGCTTCAATAGTTAGTGGGTAACTTAGCGGAAGCAGCCATGGGTAGACTACCGCGGGTCAATTGATGAAAAGCTTTTACAGGTATCATAGCAACGCAGCAACCTGACAAATACTTTGAAGTATGATACCATACTTGGAAGATGGATTTTAAGGATGATTGTTTTATTGGAATTCAATATGAAAACGAAGAATGTATTACTAAGAGAGGCTGAGTAAGTGCAAATTAATATAGCTAGCGGGTACAATACCGGTAGGAGTCCTCAAGGTGCTCGAGTACTGTACTCGTACTGTAGGAGGACAACTGTTCTTCCAATTCGGGTGGGAGATGATTGGCTAAGAGATGTCAAGTCGACCGAGGAACATAGGGGGGCCATTTCTACTCCACAAGTTAGTTTCCAGGCTCAAACAAAGCTTCCTCCTCCCCAAAGAGTTAGCTCCGTGAACTATCATGAGCGCTACCCGAAGTGGAAGGCAAGGGATAGCCCATACTCTAACCACCATTTTTATTTTTTAGGCTTGCCAGGAGAATTACTCGGTGACCTTTGAGGGTGTGCTCAAAGCCTGAACAGAAATTTAGACGTAATTGGCCAGACAGACCAAATCCCAGCTGAATCCAGGAATCACTGATGCCATTCTACGGTACGGTACCCTGAGGACCCCTAATAACTACAGGTACAACCGGTAAACCCATTCCCTCCGCACCAGTACTGACTTCCAGCCGGCGGCAGCGGGTACTGTACTTGTACGAAGGGGTGGGAAAAAGTATGGCGAAGTCTTGGCTGCCAAGTACAGCGATATTCCGTTAGCCATATTCGCCAGACTGTTCTCGACCCCCTTCTTATAGGGGGTTGAGGGTGAGTGAGGCGAATGGGGGTACGGTTGGCTCCTAGGCCACTTGGCCGAAGAGAAAACGGTATGATATTTCATGAAGTTCGTTGCTCTCGGAATAAACGGTGGGAACCCTCAGCGAGGTGCGGCATGGCTTGGATGGCTACTGTATAGTATACAGTCTTCACCGTAGTCGTGACGAAACTGGGCGGGCGACGAACAAGGATTAATTGCCAGTAATTTTGTAACCCTAACCTTTGCTCTTTCCTTTTTCTCCCTCCAAAATATCCCTGTTCCTCCATGCCCAGTTTCGTCGTGACTACGGTGAAGACTGTACTCATAGTTAAAACCAAGGAGCTTTTGTAGCAAAGTCTTGCCACACCTCACTGAGGGTGTTGCCTTGCGGAGGGTTCCCACAGACTACCTCAGTTTTCACCTGACATTTTCCACCTTCAAAAAAGCGCCAAGATCACCTAGAAGGCGCCAAGATTGGCCATTCCTTGGCTGCTCTCACCAAAGGTTTAACTCCCCATTGTCTGACTTATCCCTTGAACTGCCAGCAGCGACTATTCAGGTGAGATGGTCAAAAATATGCTGTCACGATAGGTTTTTAATTGTGTTGGATAAACTAACACCAAAAATGGCAACACACCCACCAACAAGTCCAAATCTCATCTAGTGAAGTCACGCACATGGCAGCTGCTGGCAGTTCATGGAATACTTAGACAGTTCTGGACCATTCTCTCCTGAATTCTCTATTGTCTCAAATGAAATTCTCGGAGCTCCAAATTTTTTTACACCAGAATATACCCTGTTGTACCATATAATCAGCTATCCCAGACAGATTCTGCAGATTTTGGCCATCTGGGACAGCGAGGTGTGACTATATGGTTGAACAAGTTGTAGTGAAAGGTTTTTTATTTTTATTTTTCATTGAATGGCCATTTATGGTAACTGAATGGTCACTTCTGTAAGAGGACAGAAAATTAATCGTGCCTTAAATCTGAAGTGAATTTGAACTATGAGATTTACAATAAATCTTGATATTTTTATAATATTATGAGGGTGTATGCAGTTATTGCATTAAGTTAGTAGTTATTCTTGTTAGTTAATTGGTCATAATATTGAAGGCAAATGAGTAATTATAATTCAAAAATTGGAGTTACGGATAATTGAAGTAATTTTTATGTCAAAATTTTACATGATAAAGGAAATTGTAAGTAGATGACCTCTCAAACTAGCCAGTATAGATAGAGAAATATATAATATATGTCTCCGATGTGTGAAGTATATAAGTCTTCTGGTGGTCTAGTGGGTAGTAGGTATGTTGGCCCATTTCCTATTACTTCTAGGTTGTGGGTTTGAATCTGACCAGATTTGGATTTGAATTCTCAGTGTGCCAGGATGTAGGGTTTATCGAGTAGTGGAGTGGTTAATCTACTTTGAGCTACTTGATAACTTTCACTCTGAGTCTTGTCCTGAAAACTGTCTGAACATTGCAGTTTTTAGATGGCTTTTCAATGTCCTCCTGGCACACTATGGAGGGGCCTTTTTGCTGGTACTCTAGTATAGTTAATGACTAATACAGTTGTTGTCATAATGAGTTTCTTTTATTTTTATTTTTTTGCTATATATAACCGGTAGGAGTACTTGGTTAAGGGTTTTATTTAATGCTTTGTTTTAAGTATCGCTTTAATACTTGATTTGTTTCAAGTATTGTTTGATGCTTGGTTTTGCTTTATATTTTGCTTTAAGAATCGTTTTAATACTTAAGTTGTTTTACTAAAGTGTATGGCTTAATACCTTTGATTAGTTTTATTCATGCTAGATATGAACAGATTTGTATATTTAAAGACAACCTGATTCAACAATGGAGAAGGCAGACTTCAACAGATAGTATTTTTAATATACTTAGTTGAAGAGTTACTCTTTAGTTTTCCCAGTACACCTTAGAAGCCTCCTCAGTTCGCAGCACTCATCGCCTCTCAGGTAGAGCAGACTCCCTGTTAACTATCATACCTTACTCTGAAATGTGATTAGTACCTTGCAAACATGTTATACCATACAGCTTTAGTAAGAAAATATGAAAATAAAACCTTAAAACTAAGGTTGATCAATTGGCCTGAGCACATTGGCACCTTGCTCTCCTGTATAGCTAAAATATGAAGAACATGTCTGGCATAGTGAGAGATTCAGGACAACAGGTCAGGCTTTAGTGGAAAGAAATTCAGAGTTGATAGATATTTTTACAGAACAGTAAGGTATTCGTATTATCGAGATCTGAGACAGTACGGTGTAACTATATACTGAACTGTCTAATTACATACAAAGTAACCATTTTGGCTATTTTATCTTTTTTTTTTTTTTTTTTACTGCTAGCTGTAATGAAGCTCAACATGGTTTGACAATATATTCAGCTATAGACAGCCTTTCAAGCCACATGGATACTCCCCTCAGCTGGACAGCTAAACTCAAATAAAAAACTTTCAAGTAGTTTACCTAGATGAACTGGTATTATTGTGCTGATCACACTCATCTCTTCATACAAACTCCACCAATCAGCATCTGTCCGAGTAGGGGAGGTGTCCGGTTAGCTTGGGAAGTCATCTACTATATCAAGTAAATACTATTCCTTCTTGAGATGTTTTGTCTTTGAATCCAGATTATGTGCCTTTTGGAGACTGAGTTTCTCCATTTTAATAAGAGCCTATTTGGCAGGAATTGAAGGTGTGTTGACTGTTCCATTCACATATACTAGAAGTTCTTCGATCTTCACTTGAGTACATAGGGAATGTTAAGAGTACAATTGATAAGACATAAATTGTCAGAAATTGCTATAACTTCGATGGAATAAACTTTGGAATGTGTAGAAAAGAATTATAAAATCAAAGTTTGTAAATTACAACTGAATATATAAAATATAGGTATGAGATTGTAGAACTTTCTACAAAAAATATATTATATAAATAGAGTATAAAGATGAGAAATAAAGAACCACATCCAAGAGACAGGCTTAATTACAATATATATTACCTAATGAGCCCAAAATAGACATGACTAAGAAATACAGAAAATGCCAAGGTATTTATGTAATCAAAAAAGAAAATATCAAAGTGAACAGGATTGAAGGGAAAGACTGCAAAATTCATAGAGGTAAAACCATAGAGAATTAATTGTAAGATTAAAGTTATAGCTTACTAGAGGTTGAAATTAAAATAGATAAAGATAAGAAATACTCAGATAATATGGAGATGGATGAAGTAAAACTAAATATTCAAAGAATAAGAGGATACTATCTTGCAGGAGTAAGCTGAGGGAAAATACTATATAAAATAAAGAAATTGAAGGTATGCTAAAATAGAAATGAAAAATTGGGATAAGAAATAGAAAATTTAAGAAAAAGTAGACAATATTTAAAGGATAAAAGCGGAACTATTTCATATTACATTTACATATTACACTTATATTTTAATCAGTTCATTCTTTATTATATACAGAATAAATCTCAGGATATTTTTGAATTAAGGTATTGAGAAATAATATTGAGGGTTTTTTGCATACTGAATTGGAGGCTAATAAATGGGAATAGAAATTGAATAAATCAGGAGAATCAGTAAACCTCCAGGTGTAGTGGATGTTGAAGAAATCGCATAGTAAGATACTTCCAATTAAACTCAGATGGATCTAGATATAAAACATATATATCATATCGAGAGTGACAAGCAACACACCGACATTTCAGAATCATCTACAACAGGTTCAGAGTCTACAGGCTATACCTCTGATAGTATCTGAAATTGCCAATCAAATAGTTGAGAGAATGCTAGCGCGAGTAAATGAGTAGGTATGAGAACAAAAAAATATAAAACTCTGAGGATGGTATTGAAATGAGGGATAATGCAATTGGAGAGAAGAGACAGTTATAAAATATACTGCTACAAGCACTATTACAAATTGAAAGTGTAAGTATGGAAAACTGCTTGGTATAAAATTTTAGAAAATTTGCCTCTGAACTCAATTATTAACTTTCTTAAAGAGCAAGAAGCTAATAGAAT